ATTATAAAAATTCGTATGCGACCGAGACACCCTTTATTGTAATAACGAGCGACAAACATTCCGACAAATTGAATTGATAAATTAACCGATGAAATTCGAACTTCTGACGAAATTCGCTGGTGAGGTCACGACCAATAAGCGAATTAATAAAATATGATTTCCGTCCGCATAGAAAAATAGATAAGAGTAGGAGTAGATCTTTCCCATCAATCAATACTAGCTAACTTAGTGGGGGGTGAGAGAGGGTAAATAGCGACGAAAGTAGGAGAATAAATGAGGGTGCTGTATCTTTCTAATTTACATACGGACCAATGATGAAATATTCGGAGGGCGCTACCGATATCCTGATTAGCATACCGACTAATAATAGTATTTCTTCTCGGAAAGAGGAGAAGAAGAGCGATCTTTGACCGCGAAAAGCCGATACTCGTCCATTTTGCCGCTACTCTTCTAGCCAGAAGGAGTGAGTGTGCTAGCTCTTCCACAGTAATTTCGCTTGCCGAATCTTCAGCAGAAAATTGTAAGTAGGCAAAGTGCCACTCACTATTAGAAATCGCGGAGTGCGGGTGTGAATCTCTCGGTATAACAGGTTGCCGCGACACGTGGATCTGTCGACGCCGATACTAATTGTTTCAAGTGATTCGCGCTGACCTTTCCGCTATTTCTTGGAATTTAACGTGAGTGTTGAAATTGGACAAAGGAAATCAGTGCTGAGATTATTCGCGCTGACCTTTCGTCAGTATTTTAATTTACCGCAAGATTTAGGCGCGAAGAAGATTAGTATTTAACTAATTTGTGCTGACCTTTCGCCTTATCGGAATTTAGAGCAAGTGTTAAATTAACCCATTAACGCTCACAGGACGGTTTTTCGAGACCTGAGTTTGAACTATTCTCATGTCATGAATTCTCGTGGAAAAAATTCAGGAACCATTGTTTCTTATGTTTTCGAGTGTCCTCTTTCCAATGATGCTGGTTAAAATTGTCGCTGAAAAACTTTTACGGTCCAAAAATCAAAAATAAATAAAAAAAACATGATTTGCTGATTTAATTTTTTTTTTAAATCGACTTTTCGTTTCCTAAGCATTTTTTTTAATGCCTAAAACCCTTATAGATCGCGGCCTCGAGGTTTTAACTACAAGTTACTATGATTCTCCGGATATGAAAATTTTTCGTATAAACAAAATGGCGGCCGAAGTGAAAATATTTATCTAAAACTTTACAAATTTTTTTCTCGAATACTATAGATTTTCATGAAAATTTTTAAAGAACAAAAATGTCTTAGAATTAGTTATAAAATACTCTCAAATTTTTTCAGAATCATCCAAGAAAATTTTGGGATTTCGGAAAAGTCTCTGAATTGAAAATTTAAAAATTATGTCGGAAAATTTTGAAATAATTTGAGAGCGTTCTTTGTTTGTTTTTAAGACATTTCTATTCTCAGAAAAACTTTCGTAAAGTGCATGGTTTTTGGTAAACAAAATATTTGTTTAGCAAACTTTAACATTTTTTTTCTCGAAAAGTATACTCTTTAGGAACATTTTTCTAAGAATAGAAATGTCTTAAAAACAAACAAAGAACGCTCTCAAATTATTTCAAAATTTTCCGACATAATTTTTAAATTTTCAATTCAGAGACTTTTCCGAAATCCCAAAATTTTCTCGGATGATTCTGAAAAAATTTGAGAGTATTTTATAACTAATTCTAAGACATTTTTGTTCTTTAAAAATTTTCATGAAAATCTATAGTATTCGAGAAAAAAATTTGTAAAGTTTTAGATAAATATTTTCACTTCGGCCGCCATTTTGTTTATACGAAAAATGTTCATATCCGGAGAACCATAGTAACTTGTAGTTAAAACCTCGAGGCCGCGATCTATAAGGGTTTTAGGCATTAAAAAAAATGCTTAGGGAACGAAAAGTCGATTTAAAAAAAAAATTAAATCAGAAAATCATGTTTTTTTTATTTATTTTTTATTTTTGGACCGTAAAAGTTTTTCAGCGACAATTTTAACCAGCATCATTGGAAAGAGGACACTCGAAAACATAAGAAACAATGGTTCCTGAATTTTTTCCACGAGAATTCATGACATGAGAATAGTTCAAACTCAGGTCTCGAAAAACCGTCCTGTGAGCGTTAATGGGTTAATCGGAAGTTAGTTAGTAGTTGAGTTTGGTCGCGCTAACTAATTGTTCGATTATTAGGACGTAGTTGAAAATTAAGCCTAATTAAACCAGGTAGTGATTCTTCGATTACGTCGCGTTGACCATTCCGCCATTTTCGTTTAATCAAAGACCGACTGAAAGAACTTTAGTTTCTCTATTAATTCGTGTCCTTGCTGTTACGTAGAATGGTGCTGAATTATACTGATTAGTTAATTAATTAGACCATGTGCGTATGAAGGGTGAAATAAATTTAATAAAGAGTGATCAGTTTTTCTTTATAAATTTTGCTTTTTGTTGCCCTACCTTATTTGCATGTTGATTATTTTCAGCCGCGAACGGTTGTAATCGGAAAACGCTGATTCGTTATTTTTCGGTTTCCACGATAGGTGACAACGCGCGAATTCGAACGAACTTCCGACCTGAGGTAAAGTGTCACAATCTGAGCTGCCGACATATCATAAATGAGAAGACAAAAAGAAACTAACTTGTTGGACATCAAGGCCTGCAATAGAGGAGATCCCGAGTCCCCATACGTTTGCCCACACTGCGCAGTCGCCCTGAAAGCAAACCAGAGTATGTTGCGACCTTAGGCCCTATCCCCAACGATCGCCCTAATCAAACGGCGGTCTGGTGCCCTAAATAATCGGGGATAAAGAACCAAACAGGCTTTGTGGCGGAAGAGATTCGAGAGCGCGTTTAAAACCCCCCGAAATCCCCCGCCACAAACGATAAACATCTTTCCATCTTATAATGATGACTTTTTTTTGACAATACTAGAATTTGAACATCGCACTACACGCACACGATAATCTATAATCAATTTAATAAAATTAAACATGATTAGTAATTATTAATTGATTGTTTAATTTATGCTATGACATATTTTGTCAGTAAAAGAAATTTTACGTTTGTAAAATAATTGAAATAGAATAAATTAAAAAAACGTAATAATCATGAATAGAGCTCTTTATAAAAATAATTTCTGATACTTGTATTTTCTCTTTGATGATCATTAATATAAATTATGAGAGGATTACCAGATCGAATCTGACACATCTACAAAAGACTGTTCTTTAAAAACATTTCTTCGCAGATCTATGTCCAATTTTGTCAAAAGTTTAACCTTGACCTTTATTTATTGTGATTACGGAGGCTAATTTAACTAGAAACTATCTTTGTTTGAATGTAAAAAGAAATACGTACAAAATATAAAGTTATTCGAAATAAAGATGCGTCCACTCCACTTTTGAAAAGCGAACAATACTTTTATATTCGATAATTTTCAGGACTTTTATCAAAGATTACAATCAATGTAGAGGGATGTATAGCTTCTCAATTTTATGCTTTTTAACAATAATCAGAATCGAGAAAATAGCCCTTTTCTCTAAACTTATTAATGAAAAAATTGATTTGCAAAATGAAATATAACTTATGTGTATATGCGAATAATTTGCATTAAAAATAGTTAAATGATCTTATATATTTATATTTAAATGAAAACAGAAATGAGTATAACTTTGATGACACATCGTTAAATTAGGTTTAGTTAGTTTAGGTTAGATTCAAATAGAAACATGCGCATTGCATGAGCCAATTAGATAGCGTTTATTTTTATTTTATAACATCCGGTCATAACTTTTTTATAAGAGGATTTTTAGTAAGTCAAGTTCCTTGAATAAAGTTCAATGCACGACGTGCGATTAAGCAAAAAGTGACGCGGTCTTTAAACCGCGCAACTACAGGAGCTTTGATAAACATAGTTTGAAAGTTGCATATGTTTATCTAGAAACCCACAACGGTTTGACCTTTATTATTAGCGAAGGGGATCTGGTGCTTAGGATTAAAATTAAATATTGGCGGTTTCACCGTGGCTAGTTTCACCGTTAGCTTGCGAACAGTCATGTAACGTACATTGAGTTAATTCAACAAGTAAAAACAGACGGATAAATAATAAAAACCTTTGGAGAAGATTCGTAAATTGCAAATAAATCACGCCTATTTTTCAAAGTTATAGACATTATTTTGAGAATTACAAATCGGCACTCGATGCATAACGGCTGCGTGCACTTTCAAAGCACGTTGGAATTAATTCGTTTTTCAGTTAACTATGATTCGGATCGTAAATTGCCGTAACAAATTATAAACTCAATTAAAAAATGAGTTATGTATACAAACTACAAATGAAAAAAATTATCCTATGAGGGGGTTCGAACTCGGCATCGTGGACACGTCAATAAAAAGAACGCCGCGCATCCAACCGCGCAGCTATTGTGACAATCATCTACATATGTTTGCAAGTCGCATGTGTTTCTCGGAAGCCCGCGGCGGTTTGTCCTTAATTAATTGGGTTGAGAATCAGGTGCTTAGGATTAATAATACTTTTACCGCTGCTAATAACAAAAATATCACGGTGTCGCTTAAATGGTTTGTACATGACAACTGTATGCCGTTCAAAGAAAAAAAATTATTATTTAGCTTGCGAGCAATAATGATCAATAAAAATTAAGCTACGTGAAAAAATAATAAAAAAGCGGTTGAATTGAGTCCTTAAATGAACGTTTGTGTCAACCTTTGAATTGGCGGCGTTGGTACGCTGTGGTAGTGTGTACGTGTGATCGTTACGCTGCATTACCAACACCTCACATACACTATTTCCCCTTGTTATAGGTGTGATCATAAGTGCTCATCGAACCTGGCGCCGCCTTTCGGCCACTACGATTAAGTTCCTCGAAATCGGCGTGTACTCTCATCATTGCGAGCATAGGAAGTCAGTTCACCTTGGTATATTCTTACACCATGCTCCAAAACTGCTTTTAAGACCAGAAACATTCTGCAGTCATCCCTATGATTCTTATGAAATACGAACTACCAGTCTAGTATCACTACCAAGTACCAATGATCACAGAAGGCTTGAGTGAATTGCCTGTCACGGTTTTTGGATTTGTACCTTGTGAGTAAAATGCAATGTCGCATAAATGTTGCGTGCTTGACTGCGAGGAGTTAGTAAAGGAAACACGCGCTAAGGGCTTGCCGCTACATAAGTTCCCCAAGGATCCACTGTTACGTATTAAGTGGCTTACTAGTGGTGGCTTTTCTCAGGACTTTAAGCCGACGAACAGTCAAATTGTGTGCTATAAGCATTTTAAACAGCACGACTACGAGATAGGTCGTAGTCACAAACTCTTTCTTAAAAAGGGCTCGGTACCAAGTGTATTTGCCAACTATCAGCAGCACCCAGATCCCATAACTCCGGAATCCAATTTAATCGTTAGCCGTCTGCAAGCGAAGCTCTCGGCGGCTACGATTAATTCCCAAGCTCAAGCCCAGATACATTCGCAATCACAGGTGCAGACGCAAGCTTTAGTGCCCACCGCAAGCGAGTTCCCGGATGTATCTCCTGGCGGTAATCTCGACAGCTCTTGTTCCAGTCTTGATGTTTCCATGGATTCATCCTGCTCAATGCCTAACGGACACGCTCTGAATAAACCAACAGAGCCCCAGCTTCCTCTTACACCAAGTCCTGCCGATCTTCTCTCACCACCTGTTAACACCTCAACTTTCTCTCCCCAGTTGTATTCTTTTGATCACACTCCTATTCCATCTTCTTTTCCTAGCCTTGTCCACCCCCAACCAACAGCTACAATGAAGACCAAGACTATTCCCAACCAAGTTAGTACTACACATTCCCAGCAGCAGCCTTTTAGTACTAGTACTCTTGTGTTGAAAAAGACAATGAACAGTGACATTAAACTACGCACATATAGTCGTACAGACTTGACGTTTTTGCCAGGCTCTAAGCTTGAAGCAAAAGACTTCAATGAAAAATGGTACTCTGCTCGTGTTGTGGAAACTGACTGGGGTGAAAGGGAGGTTCTCATCCATTTTGATAAGTGGAGCTCACGATTTGATGAATGGATTCCAATGGACAGTTCTAGACTACGCACTTTGCAGCTGCATTCTAAAGAGACAAAACCAAAAGAATTTATTGTTGGGGAAAGAATTTTGGCTACTTGGGTTGATGGTAAAAAATATCCAGCAAAAGTTAATACTGTTTTAGGCAATGACAAGTATGATGTTCTTTTTGATGATGGATATTCGAAAGTCTTGAAGGCTTCCAAAATGACTAAATTGCTGGAGTTGCCTCCTAATAAGCAAGAGGAAGAAAATACTAATTATTTAGGCAGCAAACAAGAAAGAAGGGACAAAAAGAGAAAACATACTGTGACTGAATTATTTTACCACAAGAAGAAGGTCAAAAGCGAGCCAGATAAAATATACAAAAAGCTGGATTCGGTGGATACACGTAATGTCAAATATTTATCAAAAACAGAACCTGGACCTTTAGTCAAAACAGAAGCTCTGCCTAGACTTGATAATCATCAAAATGTCACAAATTCAGGTAACGTCATTCAATTTTCAAAAATAGCTGGAGTATTTATATTACTTATTGATAAATTAATTGTACTACTACTTTTTCAGTGGGTTTAGATGAAGATTATGCTACATATATAGGAAATTTACGAGTTGAAATTGAAGATAGTACTTATAAATGTCCAAAAACAGGTTGTATAAAAAATTTTAGGAAAGAAAATTTACTACAAATGCATATAAAGCATTATCATCCTGAATATTCAAAGTTGATGGGTTCTACACCAAATGTTGCTGATTTGGCCTATGCAAGAACTATTGGAGAGTCTATCGAAGATTTTTTACCAAGAAAATCAAAATCAGGTTCTATTGTACATGGAATATCTTCATCTCAAGTTGGAGATATAGAATTTACAACTACAGACACTGATAATAGATTAGAATCTAAATTTTCAACAGAAGGTAATGCAAGTACCATTGAAGATAACTCTTCGGAACTAAGTAACAGTTGTACTATGTCACCAGGAAGGTTGTTTGACATACGCTCTAAAGAAGAAAAAATTCACACAGGCATTAAAACATTACCACCAGTTAGACAGCCTGTAATATTTGAAACTGATAATCATGGAGATTTTTCTAATATTTTAAATGATAATTACAAATTAGATAATATCACTGATAATGGAAAGACAAATAAGAAAAAACAGTTACAATATTGTTCTGACACTTATGGCAAAGTCAAAAAGTCAAGAGGGGTCACTGAAAATGATGAAAGTTTTGAGCAATATGACGATAGCTTGCCAGATGGAAATGATATATCAGACTTGACATGTCATAGTATCAGCAATGGACGAGTTGAACCAGAAAATGAATTTACTCACTGTAAAACAGGTGAAGTTATGATTATTAATGGCGAAGTTATAAAAGTAGAAAAACTAAAAAGAGAAGAAATAATCAATTGTACTTGTGGCATAACAGAAGAAGATGGATTAATGATTCAGTGTGATCTTTGTTTATGCTGGCAACATGGTCATTGCAATGCAATTGAAAAAGAAAAGGATGTTCCTGAAAAGTATGTATGTTACATATGTCAACATTCTCACAGGCAACGTACTACTAAAAAATATTTTCATGACCAAGAATGGATTAAAGAAGGAAAATTGCCAAGTATATATGCTTATTCAAGTAACAAAATAAAAGTGAATGAAAGAACTGCAACATTAAAGCGCTCTTGTGATTTAATTGCAAGTTTATTGCAAATTCGAGATTTACTATATAGTTTGAGAGTAAAAGTTAATGTTGCTCAAAATAAAGATCATCAAAAGCTATATCTTTGGGCTAAGAATTGGAGTAAAATTCCGGTTCCAACTTTACTAATGGAGCCAGTACCAATCATTGAAATAGTAAAAACTGAGATATGTAGTATTAATGAAAATATGAATGAAAGATTGGAAAACAATTTTTTAACGAAACAAGAAGATGATCATAAATTGATAACTTCTGATACTGAATTAATGCAAATTTTAGAAGAAGATAATTCTCCAACTGAAGATGCAAAGCTTCTAACAAAGAATTTCTCTCAAAATAATTGCAAGGAAGAAGGACATATTCTGCTTGATGCATTGACAAAAAATGTAATAGAGGGGCAAAATCAACAATTTTCATTTACTAAATCTGAAATGAATAATGGTATCTCAACATTCAAACAGAATTCAATTTCAAGACATATTACATCAGAAAAACTACATAAAATTTCAAACATCTCAATCAATAGCGGAAATAAATTTTTAAATATTCCACAACCAGTTGTACCTGAACCAGAGGCCCCAATTGATCCAGTTGAATGTAAATTGAGATTATTAGAGCATATTGATAATTTTCAAAACTACCTAGACTCCACATTAAATTTTGTGGAAACACAGTTATCTGCCTTGGAAGAAATGACTGAAAAGTACAATAATAGTCATGTACAGATTAAACAAACAATGCAAATGCTTTTAAATGATTTGGATTCAATACGAAAGTTAGCTGCATTATGTTAGTATATGTGTACTACTTTTGTGTTTTGTAAAGTATATATTGTGTAGTTATTATACATGTTTGTAGATGTAAATATGATTAAAAAGACTATTAATATTCTATTCATTTTAATGTAAACAATGTTCATACATGACAAGACATTTAAAATTATTTGAGTAGATTAAATATTTTCTTGATCTTATTTATTATTAAAATATACTTGTAATAGTGTACCAGGGCAAATATTTGCTTGTGTATTTTGTGATAAATAAATAAATTTATTAAAATTATCTAAAGTTTATTAACAAAGGTGTAGTCAGACCAGCATTATGCTCTATCCAATAAGTTATTTATAAAAGTATATTATAATACGTCTGTCTTAAGTATTATATTATTATATTATTATATGGTACACGAGGTGTGTTCAAAAAGTAAGGTGACTTTGTATTTTTAAGAAAAAATATTTATTTATTTATCAATATTTATGTTGTCCCCTTCAAAGTAATCCCCCTTAGATACAATACACTTATGCCAACGGTTTTTCCAATCCTCAAAGCACTTCTCATAAGCACTTTTCGGTATAGCCTTGAGCTCTTCCAGCGATGCAGTCTTTATCTCTTCAATCGTTGCAAATCTTCGTCCTTTCATAGGTTTCTTTAGTTTTAGGAACAAGAAAAAGTCACATGGGGCCAAATCCGGTGAATATGGTAGCTGAGGCATGATTGTGGTGTTGTTTTTGGCCAAAAAAATCTGTCACAAGCAAAGATGAGTAAGCAGGGGCATTATCGTGATGCAAAAGCCATGAATTGTTTTTGCACAATTCTGGGCGTTCTCTTCGTATTGCTTCTCGCAAACGGCGGATAACTTCAAGATAATACTGTTGATTGACCGTACGTCCATATGGTAAGAACTCCTGATGCACCACGCCATGGTAATCGAAGAAAACAGTGAGCGAAACTTTGACATTTGATCGAACTTGGCGTGCTTTTTTCGGTCTTGGCCCATCTGGGCTCTTCCATTGGGACGATTGGACTTTGGTTTCGATATCATAACCATATACCCATGATTCGTCACCAGTTATGACCCTTTTGAGTAAATCTGGGTCGTCGTTGATGTCATTCAACAGTTCTTGAGCGATGCTCATGCGACGATTCTTTTGGTCAAAATTTAGCAATTTCGGAACAAACTTCGCTGACACACGTCTCATCCCAGCAAACATTAGACGTCTTGAAAAATATCTAATTTCTGTCTTTTTGAAGACGTCTTCATGACAAGTTCAAAGATGTCTTCTAGTTATCTACAAGACGACTGGTGACCAGATGTCGTCACAGAGACTTCTTTTAGACGTCTTTGTCAAGCTTTTGATATGACAATTTAAAAATGTCTACTTGAGACGTCTTCAAGATTTCTTTTTTAAGATGTTCGAAGAATTTTTTTAAATGACATTCAATCGATGTCTTCAAGACGACTTTTTTTGACTTGAATGCAGACGACACGTGGATTTTAACCGCGAAGTGTCGTGTGCAATATATCGCCGTGAGATGAGGATGTCCTGGATTGTTTCAGTAGGCTATGAATAATTGATAGGTGCACTGATTGTTCCTGAGCTGAGTATTTTCGCATAAATAAGTATTACTACTTTATTCGTAAGTACATGATTAAGTTTCAATTGTACGGAAATCTTTAATTTATATAAAAATGAGTAATCGGAAAGTATTTTCTAACCTATCAAACAAACAAAAAAAACGCCGCTTAGATAAGCTTCTTGAAAATGATATAGATCCAAAGTTATTGCACTTATCAGAAACTGTAAACGTTGTAGATGATGATAATCAATTCGGTAATTATTTACAATATTTTACTAAAGTATCATTATGGTTATTTGAATTTAATCTATTTTTATATTATTATAGATGGCATAAATAATGAAGATGATACTTCTGTTAACGATGATAATAAAATACAAGACGAGGACGAGGGCGAGGATGAGGATGAGCACGAGAGCGGAGATCGTTCTTTTTCAAGAAATGAGAACAGCGGGGATAGCAGCGACCACTCTCAAGATCAAAACAACGAGGAAAGTACTTATCAAGAAGAACGAGAAGGAGATGCTTTTGGGATGAATAGCAATTACATTAACAATAGTAACAACAGTCCGCAGCGCCCCAATAATTTACATCAATTGCTTGCACATTGCGACAAGCTCCATGATAGCGAAAAATGCTGTGGTAAGCAGAGAAATCATAATATATATTCGTATATCAGTAATAATTAATGCTTCAAGTAATATCAATAATGTTTTTTTATATTCTTACTCAATGCAGACATGAATTATTGATGACAAACACTAAACTTAATAAAATCTACTTGGAGGTTCAAGAAACGAACAGAATATTGAGGAACATAGAAAATCGTAATCAGGGGTGCACGTGCAAGTCTAAAGAAGACAAACCTGCTCCAAGTTTACATCTTTTACCTCAGCTTCCTATCAAAAATGCTGAAGAGTTACGGACTTTTAGTGAGAGTCTTGACACAGACAATGATGTCAAAAGAGAATTTGTAAGTACATAATTTCCACCGAAAATTTTTTAAATGCTACATGCTTTTTAACTAATTGTTTTTTCCCAGGAAATCAAAATTTCTCATATGAAACGAAGTTCATTGAAAAAAACGATCGATGAAATTATGACAGGCTTAATCACAAATGATGTAGCTGATCAACTAACTTGGTCAATTCAAAAATCAAATAAGTTTAAAATTTGCAACTGGACATTCGTAATAACTACACAGGACCACAAATGGGAACCGGAAAAAGTCCTTCGGCAAAATTGATACCCTATATGTATTTCGACGCGCTGATTCCAAATCCGAGGTCCACATAACCCCAGCACGTCGTGTTCAAGGACATTTGAAGGTCAAACGCATTTACTACGGGAAAACATAAAATCTGACCACGGATTCGGAAAGAGCGGGAAATTTTACGTCCAAATATGTATTTTCTATTTTTTCCAACATGACCCTCCAAGGTCATCTGAGGGTCAAATGACTCACCGATAGATCAAATTCGTATTTCCCACATACATCATCACAACTAAAGACATGCGTACAAATGAGTCAGGTATCTTTAGGTTTCTCGATGCGCTGAATCCAAATCCGAGGTCCACATAACCCCAGCACGTCGTGTTCAAGGACATTTGAAGGTCAAACGCATTTACTACGGAAAAACATAAAATCTGACCACGGATTCGGAAAGAGCGGGAAATTTTACGTCTAAATATGTATTTTCTATTTTTTCCAACATGACCCTCCAAGGTCATCTGAGGGTCAAATGACTCACCGATCGATAAAATTCATGTATTCCATATACATCATTACACTACAGATTTTTAACTATAATTTGGTCACGTATCTTTAGGTATTTCGACGCGCTAAATCAAAATCTGAGGATCCTCGGTCTCAAATTCAAATATGAGTTACGGTGAGAACTTAGTTCATGGTTGTGTTAGCTCTCTTTATGGTTTTCTCGCACGGATATTGCCAATCGATTCCAGCAATTAAAATTCACCTAGCTTGATATATAGACTTGATTTCAGATAGTGATGTCGATCAAAAAGATTTACGAATGACGCGTTCTTTTATTAGCAAACGATCTGCGGAGCGCTTTTCTTTTGTGTGGAGTAGTAGTGTCTCTTTTAAGAGACCAACAATAGTCTGACATCATGTTCACATCCCAATAGCCTTGATATCTTCTTTCGATGTCTTTGAAGTCTTGGTGGAATCTCTCTCCTTGCTCCTCGCTAAAGTCTCCTAAATTTTCAGGAAAGTAATCAAGATGAGAATGAAGAAAATGAATTTTCAAATTCATCAAGCAACCCATTATTTTGTAATTACCCAACATCTCATTTACTATATCTTCGTAATCGTCGTCTTTATTATTTCCTAAAAATTTATGCTGAACTTCTCTAAAGCTTTGCCACGCGTTGCGTTCCTTTATCGTCATTCTTCTTTCAAATTCTTCATCTCGTAATAGTTCTCTTATTTGTGGACCATCAAAGACTCCTTCGTTGATCTTTGCTTCCGAAAGTTTTGGAAATTTCTCGAAGAGATACATAAAAGCGTTGCTTTCGTCTTGTGAATTTTTCATTGCTTTAATGAACTGTTTGACCAAACCAAGCTTAATATGCAAGGGTGGGAGGATGACTTTATTTGCAGGTATAAGACTTTCGTGTAAAACATTTTTATTACCTGGGGTCAAATTTTGTCGAAGTGGCCATTCTTTTCTCACATAGTGTTGATCTCGGGCACGGCTATCCCATTCACAAATGAAACATGGATATTTCGTGAAGCCACTTTGTTGACCCAACAAAATTGTTGTTATTTTCAAATCTCCAACCAACTGCCACCAGTGAGTATCATAATGCAATTTCTGTAGCAGTAAATCGAGATTACTATATTCCTCTTTCAAGACAATGGAATGACCAATTGGTATAGGGGCGTATATGTTACCGTTATGGAGTAAAACTGCTTTCAAGCTTCTCGTAGAAGAATCAATAAACAGACGCCAATCAATAGCTTCATACTCTACGTTTCCAAATTCATTTATCAGTCCTGCAACGTCGTTGCAATAAACTAAATCGCATTCTTTCGAAAAAAATTTTCTAAATTGTTGATCACGATTTCGGTAAAATGTGATGGAAGTACCAGGAGCCAGACAATTTTTTTCTTTCAATCTAGATGCTAATAGTTCCGAAAGTTCTTTTGAAAGTCCTGTGTCTCGAACTTGAAAGCAGTTTTACTCCATAACGGTAACATATACGCCTCTATACCAATTGGTCATTCCATTGTCTTGAAAGAGGAATATAGTAATCTCGATTTACTGCTACAGAAATTGCATTATGATACTCACGGGTGGCAGTTGGTTGGAGATTTGAAAATAACAACAATTTTGTTGGGTCAACAAAGTGGCTTCACGAAATATCCATGTTTCATTTGTGAATGGGATAGCCGTGCCCGAGATCAACACTATGTGAGAAAAGAATGGCCACTTCGACAAAATTTGACCCCGGGTAATAAAAATGTTTTACACGAAAGTCTTATACCTGCAAATAAAGTCATCCTCCCACCCTTGCATATTAAGCTTGGTTTGGTCAAACAGTTCATTAAAGCAATGAAAAATTCACAAGACGAAAGCAACGCTTTTATGTATCTCTTCGAGAAATTTCCAAAACTTTCGGAAGCAAAGATCAACGAAGGAGTCTTTGATGGTCCACAAATAAGAGAACTATT